CTTCTGTCTTGATGCAGATTTTATTTTGACAAAAGATGTTTGTCTACATGAGGGAGGATAAACCATCTTAATCTACTAACTAGGTGTAAAAATGTTTAATGCGACGGCACCACAACAAACCACAAGGAAGTTACTCCAAACAAAACACAGGTCTGCAGGAAAACTGAAATCTGACTGAAAATCATAGTCACTATGAGAAGCCTGAAGGCTCCCATGACAGTAGACAACACGCATTTTATCTGTGCACTCTGGATCAACAAGTCTCCTGTTTTTCCTTTAATCTTCTAACTGATGAGGATGCCACTGGGTAAATCTCAAAATAAGATTTTTAATTTGCAGCTGCCGTTTGAAGGTTGGAGAGGTCATTTGATAACGAAAACATAACCAGAACATTGTCTGTTATGTTTGTTTTACTCTGCAGGGTACCATGGCCAGCAGTTATTGTTGAACATTTAGTCTAAAAAACAAAGCTCTGTACCTATAAACTAAATATTGGCTGATTTGAGGCAAGGGCATGTTTAATTAACCTGAGCAAGGACTGGAAATAATATCAATCTCGATTTCAGAATTTAAGTATAAGGTTTACTTTCAAATAAAGCCTCAAATTAAACTCTTTGATTAAAGACAATATTCTCCTCAAAATATCACATTCTACAGTAACAAACAACGAATACAAAAGAACAGAAAATTCCCACAGCTGGTGAAGGTTTATCTCAGACTACTTTACAATTGGGACAACAGTATAGATAAGAGGATTACAGCAGATGTTAAAATTCAGCCAAAAACACTACAAATTCACTTGTAAATAGCGGAAAGACTTAATTATCATGAACACTCAAAAAGTATATGACAACAAAGATTAATTATTACAGCAAAATATATATATATATTTATATAAAAATCTAAATGAATCTTTTTTGTCATATCGGGTCCAATCTGACAAATTTTACTTTTTTTTTACTCAAATTTTGTTTGAATATTAGCTTTTATTTCAAGATCTTTCATTTTCAATAATATGCTAAATTAGAAAAAAAAAAACAGTAACTCACTATAATTTATTAATTTTTAGTGCCAGCTGTATAAAATACTGACTGACAAAAAAAAGAAGAAATAAAACAGTGTTCTTACATAATTAACTTACTATACACATATTCATAAGATAAAATAGGAAGCTATTGGGTTACTGAATAAAAAAAACAACTTATGAATATGCGAAAAACCTATTATTATTATTACTATTATCATCAAAATTATTATTACATTATCATTACTATTTTTCCCAATGTATAGAGATCATTGATATTGCTTCGCTTTGCAGCATGGCTAAATGTGCACTATTTAGATATCTAAAGGAGTTTGTCAAATGTTTATATTAATTAACAGAAGTGCTTGAAGTGCATTCTTCATCATTTTCAGCATTAAAACAGTGAATGATAATACCAGATTGGATCGATTCATGTTGCATGCCATGGCTTCTCCAAGCCACCCTATTACATCGGGAGCGTTTTTAGAGTCTAGCGACTATGTGGTTGAACTTGGATCACATCAGGATTACATCATTGTGCTCTTGTTGTCTACTTGTGGGCTTAAAACCACCAGAGTTTTTATTTTATCAGTTCTATATGTGTGTCCTGTACCTGGACTATATCTATTAACCTTTCTTTTTGTTTGTTTTCTGCAGATTTTTATTTTGGTTGTGTTTTTGGGGGAGGAACAAATTTGAATCAAATAAAACCATCAATCAAAAACAGATTTTTAGCAGGTTATACGTCTAAATCCCTGAAAACAATGCATCTGGATAAATACTAAAAATACTAAAAACCTGCAAATCATGTTAAATGAAAAGAACAATAATGCATATCATATTTTAAGCAATCGAATTATTCAATGATAAAATATTGTCGTGTCAAGTTGTATCTGCAAATGTATGTAGAGAACTGAAGACCAGAACCAATAGAAAGGCACCATTAGAAATATTTGAACTGAGAAAAACAGTGACATGTATAATTCCTATTTTTCCAACTATATATATTCTTAGTAAGCCTGCTCTTATTCACATACTGTAAAACTCTGCTTTAATTGTCAGACAGAAAAATGCGTAGCACATTTTGACTGAATGTTGGGTGAATATAGCTGCAGTTGTAATTACAGTACTATAAGGTTGGTGTTCCTCTTTGATTTAAAATTCAGATCCTGTTTGAGCACATCGGCTGACAAAATTATCACGCACAGTAATTAAAGAGAACATCTTTGCTGCTATGTCAGCTGTTCTTAACGGTACAATTGTTAGGCTGAATAGCTAGGGCTGACAAACTGTATCAGGCATCTTTGCTACCTGCTCACAGAGTATAAACCATAACTGCCTGGAACACACTACCACCAATTAAACAGCATGGGAGCTTAACCTACAGTAACACATTAAAAAACATGTATAGAGAAAAACAAAACTGCTGTTTTTATAGTTAGGTTTCAACTAAAGGAAGAAGCATACATTCGCATTATTATATATTAAGGATGCTGACAAGTTCCTAAAAAAATAAATAAATAAAAGTGTAGATTCAGATAGAATTTTGGCAAATTTCACAAAAATTGCTCTGAGAATTACTTGCTACTGGCCTCATCCAACTATAAACGATTCCATGGTCTTAGTTGGGGCTGTGTTTCATTTTCTTTAACCATCATTTCTGACATATTTTGTATTAAAATCCACTCAGTTTTGGGAGCATTGTGCCCAGCCTGGTCATGATGCCGGTCACTGGCCTGCAGCTCTGCTTTCTTTGCATTTAGGAAAAGTGCCTCTAAACACTTTTGATTTTTTATTTTTTTTTTCAAATGTGGGATTTGGCTTTGGTTTGTCGAGTGGAGGGACAGCAGTGAGAAATGCGGGATTACTGCACAAATCAGGACACCTAGTCACCCTAGTACTAACCTTTCAATGCATTTAGTTTACTAGATCATTGAATGTGTGTTGTGGGCTCTTGCACCAGGATAGCAGCAGATTCTTCAATACCTGCAGCTGTGAGATGGTCCTCAAATTCTTCCTTCTCAAATAAATCCTGAGGAAGCATCATTAAACTGAGATCTGGTGGATTTGGAATTGAAGTCAACACCTGAAACTGTTGAACTGCTCAAACTACTCCTCATCCTTATTTACTTATTCTTTGCTTTGTAGGAAAGGGTGTCTTTTTCAGCTAAATAAAGGCTACAGTAATCAGATAATACTATTTTAATGTGTATAGTCCGTAACCGTTCTTAGATGCATGGTAAATGGTAAAGAGGAATATTGAGGGAAGGACCCAGAGAATAATACCCTAAACATCTTGCTGCACCCGTGAACTTTCTAAATATGATGTAAACAGGAGTCATGAGATACCACACTTGGCAGCGTTCTCTGCTAATGTGCATCACTAAGCCTTGGTTGCCAGTCTACGAATCACAATTTATCTCACTTACTTAAATGACTGTTTGACTATTTTTCTGCTTTTAAAAATGAACTTTACTCTCGTTATAAAAGACAAAGTAGAAACAGCAGAGAGAAAGCAATATTATAGTGTAAATCTTTGTGTCTGTATGGCAATGCAACTCATTACACTGTTAACAATAACCAAACTGAGCAAACCTTAGACAATGGAAAATATCCATATGGAGAACATTCAAACAGATTGGATTACAAGCTAGCAAGAAGTGCTAGAATCCATGCCTCCCAGGCTCTAGTGTCTAATGTTGTGGTTCTTACAGCATTTGGTTAGTCTGAATGGCATAGTGAAAAGACCTGCTGGATGAGTGAAAATTGTTATTTCTAACCAAAACATGCAGATATTAACAAAAGATTGACAACGAAGGTCCCCTAAGAACTTCATGAGCAATGGTTCCAGTAGCTGGAGGGCCGGAGGGAAAGTCTGGCAGCTCAGAGCATTCAGCAGCAGAATAAGCTGAATGATCTGAGATGAGGCCCACTTGAGATACAAAACAATCAGTGCCTAAAGAATACTTTGTAATTAACCAGAAATTACTGGATCTAAGCCTACATGATAAGCTTTATCACAACCATCAGGCTTCACACATCTATTTAACAATGGAAATGTGAGCTGATTCTAGAAGTGTGACTAGCTAAAAATATTCGTCATAGTCCAGCAGGATGGATGTCTGTAGTCTAAGCAGGTATCAAAACAACACAGATAACACTGAACTGGCTTTACAAATAAAGAGAACATTTTCTTAGAGTGACAGATATGTAGAGGAGACAGAGACAAACCATGTAGCAGAGCCCTTGAAGTTAGAAAGCCCAAGCTTTGTCTTTGTCACACTCCGTGACACCCAACATCACTCCCAGATGTGTGGACCATGGGTGTATACTTGGTGCAAGTGTTTGTACTGAATGAAAAGAAAAATCCCAAACCCCTCTCTTATCTCTGGATTGGCTGTCCCTCAACTCCTGTTATTCTGGTATCGCTGCTTGTTAATAAATCTGTCACACAAACCTGAATCCAAACATTTGTTCTGCTGAATGCTTGAAAAGACAACAATGGTTCTCGATTTGTCTCATTAACAGGTTTATATCAGACCATGGTCTTACATTACATAAAGGCCTACAGGTGAGCTGGGAATGATACAAATGGCCATTTCATGGCAGGAGCTGGTTTGGGCAGTGACTTGGTCTGAGGTGAGGGAACACTTGCTTTACAGTGCTGCTTTGAGCCAGCAAGATTAATGTAGGCTCTCTGGAGCAAAGGCAACAACCACAGCTTTAATAAGGTACAAACAATCGGTTCCACTCCACTGGCTTCCCAGGGAAAACTATTGTTGTGCCGCATTGTTTCTTGGTGCGGTTCCTTGGAGACATGTGTCTACTGCACTGTGCGACTGTCTCAGTTACAGCCAGGGGAGAACTCAGTGTAGACCTTCGTTTGTCTATGTCAGAATAAAGGCTGGCTCTCTACCCCAGCTCTGTCCCCATTTTCTCCTTTTACTGTCACACTCTGCTCCCGCCCCTTACTCACCTCAACTCCCTGCACTTTCAGCTTCATGTGATCCTCTCGTGTGGTCTTCCCATCTTTCCTCTTCTTCCAGCAGTAGCCATCCTTTCTATACTTCACCTTCTTCCTGTTGTACAGTATCATCGACCCATTCTGTGGCCTGGAACCACAAAAGAGAAAAAGATTAAATGAGATGAGAGGATACGCAAAGTACAGAGCAGCTCAAGAACTCACTTCAGAGAGGAACAAAGAGACCTGACACAAGTTATGGCAAACAGAGACTGCACCAGTAAACTAGATGACAAGAATAATTCATTGTGATTCTCATCAGTGACATTTATAGTTTGACAATGAGCAAAGCGTTCCTCCACTTTTGTGGAGTGTGTGCACTGTCAGACGTTACGGTAATATTCTTCACAGCGTAACTTATATAATGATTAGTGAAAGACAAGTGGCAGAACGGTGTGGAGGAGTGAGGTTCTAAAATCATCTCTCATTCATCCAACCTAAATGAGATGTGGTGTTGCAAATCCACAGGGAATAAAAGATTTTTTCCTACAGTCCATACATAATTCAGTCTCCCTCTATTAGCCTAACTGCCTGTTGCTTCACTATGATATAGTGTTACTGTTTAAAGATTATTTGTCTTTCCATTTATATTTGTAACGGAAGAAGTTGGCATTCTGTGTAAAGGTGAACGGACTGCGAACATATAATAAACAAAGCTGTTTTGAGCAATTACAGCAGATACAGGCGTTAGTGGTTTATTGGTGTTTGCGGAATAGCTTTGTGTCATCACCTCAAATCCATTCATTTTGCATTATTGCCCAATTCCAGTTTCTTGCATCATCCAGCACAAATGCTAGCACTGACTTAAGGAAAGACAGTCATTCTGCAGGGACAAACTTGCACAGCATTTCAGCAAAAACAACTAAATATGCATAAGACATACAGTTTCAAAAGGCACTTACACATACAATACCACAAATTTACACCCGTAGCACAGAAGGAAATTCTTAAATGTACATTTTACTATGATTAATCTCCCAAAAGATGGCCTAACAAAGAAAAGGTTACAGTTCTGAATTTAGGAAAAATATATAGATTTTTACTTTGGTAGTTTAATTTAAAGTTATGTTGAGCAGAAATATATTCATACACTTCAAACACAACTGAGACACATTAGGAATGGAGAGAAAAACTGATCAAATGATTATTAGGTTGGATATTCAGATGGATTGGTAACCTGTCCCTATCTAACCAAGCTACTGCTGTAGATAGATACCAGCATCCGACGGTACCTTGTAAGAAAATGCCAGCATAGACAATGAATGGATGGTTGAGTGGATGATTTGGTTGGCATCAGAGAGCAGCAATGCTGCCACACAGCACAAAATGCTTGGGCCCTGCTATACTATACTAGCAGCTGCCCTGTTGTTCCTACAATGGACCAGTCCATCTGGTTTTCAATGAATTCAGTGTAGAAATATAAGACTACTTGAAGCACTCATGGACTGGTCATGTAATTGAACTTTAATCCCAAGATGATTAGTTGATCTATAAAGAAGAGACAGTGATGTCAGCAGAAGGAACTCCTTGTCCTGTTGCAGTATTATTATTACAATATATATCTACCCCATCCTCCTAATAAACATATTTTATTAATGTAAGAGAAATTGCTACGTTATAAAATGTTTATTTATTCATACATAGACTTATGTCAAATCAAATTTTTGATCTGGAAAAATAGAAACAATGCTTTGGAAATTTCACCCAAATCATTACATTTGTGTTACAGAGGGGTGAGCACAAAACATCAATGTGCAACAATGTGGATTATTATTAGAACACAATGTAGTTAACAGAATAAAAGGACAATAAAAATACTAATATATGTTTCTTTTTATAAAAGTTAAGCATAAAAAAAGATTCTTAAATACAGTATCTAATTAGTTTTTTAGGGGCTGGGTTGTGATTTTTCAGTTCAAAAGTATGTCGAAAAATGTTTTCACTTTTACAGTCATCAATGATTTTCTCCAAAAAACAAGAAAACATTTGTACAAAACAATATTTGCAAATGAAGATTCACTTTACAACAATATACAAAATTTGCAGACTGGTCAGATAACAAAACAAAAAATATTATTATTGATTCTGCAAAATGAGCAAGAGGGATGGACACCTGCCAGAGCTGCAGATAAAGCAGGGCAACCAAGGGAGGCTTAAGCATTCAGGAGGCCTGTGAGCCTTGTTAGCCTTTCACTCATTGCTCCCACGCAAATACAATGTACACGAATACAAGCCCTCCCCCAACCGCCAACACGCATGTATGGCTACTACAACTAGAAAGTAAGACAATTTGAAATTCTCATATCAAAGTACAAAAAAAACATGACTGTTTTATGTATTCTGTAACAATAAACAACATTTAGGGGGAAAAATGTTGTTATGCATTGTATGGCTGTTTATTGTAACATTTGCTTTTTTACAGTGTTTATTTATAACCCTGCATGCATCATTTTGCAGGGCTGCCTTTGGGGGCTGTGGCGTGTGTTTATCTTAGAATCACTCATCAATCATTTTTTTCTTGCAGGATCTCAGGGGCCAGTGGGAAGGGAGGAGAAAGGAGAGGTGGGGTCCCCATGGCCCCCGCTTTGTGGCCCCTGACAGCACCTTCTAATGAGAGACGCCACTCATACACTGATGTGCTCTCTCCTTGGTGATCTCCATGCCTCTCTCTTCCCCCTCCACAGCCCCTCTCTCCTCCTCGTCAGTCAGCTCAGGCTGTGCACCAGGGAATGTCTCTGCACTGACTTCTCTTCTGTTCTCTCTCCTCTCCCGCTTGTTTCATCTGTCTCTGGATCCCTCACCTCAACTCTCCCACACCTCCCCTCTTTCTTTTGCCATCTTCCCCTCATCTCTTGCTTTGAGCTTTGAATACTTTGCAGGAAACAGCTATTAAGAAGACATTTTATTGGCCATGCTTGAGAAGTTGTTCCCGACCAGTCAAAGGCTGGGGTGTACACAAAATATAAATTGTGTTCTACTTTACTGGATCCCTAATGTCATCCACACTGGGGCAGTGATCATAAATAGTAGCTGAGATTTTTACAGACTGTTGCAATCAGCATATTCTCTCCTAAGGATTTGCATCCCAGATTGCTCAAAATACACAGAAGCACCCAGTTCAGACTCCTTGGGTTCAATCAAATTTGAAAGTGACCCATCTAACGTTTGATTCTTTTTATTTGTTTCTTTATTATTCTGCTATTTGTCCTTAAGAGAAGCGTGAGCCTCTTAAAATGTAACCCAGCAAGACACAAAAAGATGGGCGCAGATGAGGTAGGCAGAAAATCAAATGACAGAGGGCAATCTGATCTCCTCCACAGCACTGGAAATTGGGGTGAAGCTTCGGTGTCAAAGGCTCAGTGGCATATGTGCAGAAACTTATTCACTCAGCTATTATGGGGGGATTGTTTATGTAGACCCATTTCAAAATTCAAGGCACTTTGAACTGAAGAAAGAATCCTTGGCATTTCTTCTGGACAGCCGGTTTTCAAAATCTTGGCTTTGTCAACATAATATCTCTCCCTCCCGCCTTTTCTTTCTCCAATCCTTCCCCACTATTGTTTACTTAGGTGTTTCAATTAATTTTATCAGAATTAAACATATTTATACATGAGAGGAAGGCTAAAAGCTGTGTTCTCATGAAAAGCTTGACAGGTGGCCCCTTTGTCTCAGATACTGAAATGTGGCAGATTAAAATGGAAATGCGGGCCTCTGTAAAAGTGTTCCACATCTGCTGCGCCTTTCACTTCTTTGGACTTTGCAGCGATAATGAGATTTACCCTCAGGACGGTGTTAGGCCTTGTCCAGTTCTTTCAGAAACATTCATTTACTCAGGTAATGGCATTCGCTCAATCAGATTTGTTCATTTGAAGAAAAAAAAGTCAAATGAGGGTACTTTTTCTTTTTTTTGAGGCATTTGGTGTGCTCAGAATGTGTAACACAGTAAAAGGAGAGAAAGAAAATATATGTACCCTGGGCTTCACAAGCTTTAGGCAGAAACAGATGATATAAGATGAAGGAAAACATTAACATAAAAAGGAAAACAAATCTGTTATGAGAACAGGTTGGTGTAAAAAAGCACTCGTCCCAGTAATGTCAAAATTATAAAAAAAACGTGTATGTACTCATAACACTGCTTTCACGTGTTTTCTTATCTTGCCTTGTAGGTTGGCATATCTAAAAATGCATTTTAAGTGGATTTAAATGTGAATAAATGAAGCACATTTTGTGAGATATCAAATCATATTACCACTATGAATATGTCTAGCTCTTGATGTGTACCAGTTTTGTAAAGTGTGTGGGTTGCAAGGAAAGGTGAGAAAATGTACACTGTAATACTGCATCATGTAAGCAGGCATCACCTTTTCCCCGACAAAAATAGAACTGTTTGTTTTCTTTCTTTGCTTAGCAATGACCAAATTCTATTTTAATTTGGCACCTGAATTCCAAGAAGAGTTAAATATCTTAATTAATAAAGTGATTAATTTAATAACTGAATCAAGTAAAGAGGTCAAACTGATGCTGGTGGTATTAACTTTAGGTAACTGCCATGTTAAAATGGGAGAACTTTCACCAGTGTAACAAAACATCCCCATAGCATAACGCAAGTGTTAGTAAAACGATCATTCACTTATTGCTGTGACAGCTGAGCAACACTTGCGTCAGTTCAATAGATGCATCACATAGTGTATGTAAAGTATATGAGGCAGCTCATTGACATTATGACCAGGTTGTTGCAGCAGTGATTGATCTGGTGAAGATGGCTTCATGAAGGGTACACTGTGACATCAACCTCAAATGATTTTTAAGAGGGAGGGGGTTATTTTCCTGTCAGACAGGTGTTGTGAACTGCAGCCTTGTCTTGAAAAAGACCCAGTGATTATCTCACAGACCAGGTTTGTCAACGTAACAAAATGGAGAATTGAATGTCCCTTTCTTGGGGCTCCCTTTTGATGTTAATATATGTTGCACAAGAAGAAATATGGCCCTTCTATAGGTCTTTCTATTTCTTTGATATCATTTTATAGATCTTGGGCTGCAGTAGGCCTCAGTAAGTTTGCCTAATTATGCTAGATTTTCAGAGTCTTCACA